GCCAGGGGAGGGCTCTGCTCTCTGCTTTGCACAGCGCCCCCCTCCCCCAGCCAGGAGAGCTGAGCGCGGAGGATCGAGCATCGGAGAACAAGAGCCCCCAGAAATGTTGCCTCCTGGACTCAGTCCCCAGGCCCTGCCTTCCCTCTGCTTCTGCATTCTGGTCCTGGCCTGTGTCGTGGGTGAGGAGGAGTGGATGGGCGGGTGCGGGGACCCTGCAGGGGTGTAGGGGGTGAGCGTGGCCATCCGTATGGTGTGCAGGTTGGCAGACATTGGGGTATGGGGCTTGTGTGTTTCATCGTGTGCAGACGGGTGTGCGTTTCTGGGGGAACGTGCTGGTGGTGGTCCCATGTGAGACGCGTACGTGGGGCTGATGCAAATTACAGTGGTTGTGGATGTGCGTTGCTGTGTGTGTTTGCGCAAGAGTAGGACGTCATGGTAAACGTGTGTCCGTGAACAAACATATATAGGTTTGTGCACACGTTTTTATGTAAAGGATACGAGCGTGTGGACGCTGTGAGAGTGTCTGCATGTGTTGGCACGTGAGCCTGTCTGCGTTCCACGTGTGCATTTAAAACTTTAACACTCCAATGTGCAAGGCGCCCTCCCAAGTGCCTCATGCGTGGTAACTCTGAGTTCTCCCGGGATCCCCGAGGTAGGGCCTCTCATTGGCCCATTCTACAGAAGGGGAAACTGCGTATAGAAGAGGTTCGGTCATTGGCTAAGGCGCTCCGCAGGCCGTATGGGTGCCCCTGTATGTGCACAAACATGTGTGTCCATGTGAAGGCCGGGGTCTGTAGGTGACGCTTTGCCTACTGGGCACAAGAGTGATGGACAGGCAGGTGTGTACGAAGAGGTCAAGTGCGATCCGATCCGAGGCAGGACCCCTGGCCCCCCAGAAGGGGAGGGAATGAACAGCACAGCTCTGCCAACCTCCATCCCTGGGGGACGGGGGAGTCTTCCTGTGCTTTCCCTTGGCTGCTTGCAGAGGTTGTTCAGACAGGGTGGGGGTCATGGGAGACCCGAGAGGGCAGCAAGATCAGGTTTAAAGGAGGCATCAGGAGGGGGATAGGGGTCAAAGAGGTGGGGTTACACACTGAGGGGGAACACAACAGGCAGACGGAGGGGTGACAGGAGGGGCCGTGGGCACAGAGGGTGACAAGAAATCGACTGATGGCTAAAAGGGGGACAAGGGGTCAAAGGGACATACAAGGTGAAGGGCAGCAGAGATGGACGTCAAGGGGCTGCCCTTGGGCCACCAGGAGGGACAGTGATGGTGAGCACGGAGGTGAAGGAGGGAAGGAAGGATTCTCGGGTCCCAGCCGGCCCATGTGGCCCTCCGGTCCCACCTAGCGTGCCAGCAAGCAGTGCCCACAGAATCCCCGAGCCCTCAACCAGAGCTAGCGAGTGGTTTTTGGAGCCTGGTGCCCGGCAACATGAAGGCTCTGGTGACCAGGACCAGAGATAAGTGGCAGTGGTTCTGGTGAGTATGTGCAGCTGTGCTTGGGGGGTGGACTCCCAGGTCTGAGGGAGCAGGGGCTGGGGGTCTGGACCCCTGGGTCTGAGGGAGGAGGGGCTGGGAGTCCGGACCCCGCAGGTTAGAGGGAGAACCTGGGTCAGAGGGAGGAGGGGTGGGGCCGGAACTCTTGGGTTCTGAGTGGGGTAAGGCTGTGACCTCTGGGTCTGAGCAAAGCCGAGGGTAAGAGTTGAGAGCAGGCACTCCTGGGTCTGAAGGAAGAGGGATGAATGGGGCAGCGGAAGTCTTGGGGCTAGCTGGGGTCTCGACAGTTATATTCCCTCTTCTGCAGGGGACCGGAGGCCGTCCAGGGCTTTGTGCAGACCTACTACGATGACCACCTGAAGGACCTGAGTCTCCGCACCCAGGCCTGGCTCAAAAGCTCCAAAGATAGCCTTCTGAACCGGGCTCACAACTTGTGCCCCCGGCTTCTCTGTGGGGACGGGGACCAGAATTAAAGTTTCTGCAGCTTCCACAATAAAGAAATGCTTCTCTGTGTCCCTGTCCCCATCCCTTCCCACTGTGGCCACCCCCAGCAGTTCATGAGTAGAGGAAGTGACACCTGGCCAGGGAGGGACAGTTGGGGGGGGCCCTGAGGCGAAGGAGTCAGGAGGATGGCCCCCTTCCCCCAGCCCTGAGATGCACCACTGTGGGATTGTGCAGGGAAGGAGACACCAGACAGCTGAGTTTGGGATGGAGGAGGAAGGCTGGCGTGCAGACGGGGTCAGCAGGCCCCCACAGCGACCCCTCATTCAGAGCTTTGTGTTTGCTTCCCACGTGAGGGGCGCCCCAGACCGCTTTCCTTGTGGATGCCCAGAACCCCCAACCTCTTCACAGCCCCCACCCAGCCTGGCTCTCTCAGGAGGGAGTTTTCAGAGTAGGGGCTCCCTGTGGCTTGACCCTGGGGACAGTCACTGCCCTCTCTGCCCTGCACCACCCCCTCAGCGGCCCTGTTGGCTCGGACTTTGGCCTAGGGGACAAGGTGGGGGTGGTAGCTGTGGACGGGGAGGTGGACCTCAAGAGCTATAAAGCCTTTCTCTGCCCGCGTGGAGCCAGTGAGGAGAGCCTGCCAGAGTCGGGTAAGAGAGGGACCAAGATGGCAATGGGGAGGGGTCAGCGGGGAGGGGGCAAAGATAATATTAAGTCAGAAATCCGCAGGAGTCCTGACGTTAGATTCCTCTGTTGGAAGGGCGGAATTTAGAATCCTAGACTGTTTCTCTGATGCCCCTCGGGGTCAGATCTCAACCTCATCTCCAAACAGTAGGGCCTCTGAGCATGGTTGTCGCTGAGCTGAGCCCTTCTGTGATGGGGGTGGGGCTGGGGGTGAAGACAGATGGAAGGCACGCAGAACAGGGCCCAGGGCATCAGAAATGTGCTCGCTGAGTCTGTGGGGGTGCATCCAGGTACCGACAGGGTGGCAGCGGAAACGTCACCCTCTGCCAAGCCTTTCCCAGGCCACGTGACACGCCCTCCCCCCTCCAGAGTACTTATCACCCCGGGACACGCAGTATTTTTTCCTCGTTTAATATCATTGAGTGTCTTTCTCTCTCACGTGGGCTGTGGAAGGGCAGGGCTGTCGCCGGTGGTCACAGCTGGGCCCAGGGCCTGTGCTTGGCACACATGGTGAGGTGCTCAAGAAATGCTTCTTGAGGGAATGAATGGATGTTTAAAGGAAGGTGTGAAAATCAGGAGTAGAATCATAAAGCGTTAGACAATGAGGCCCAAGCCAATGCACTGGCAACTGGACTCAGCTGGGGGGGGGGGGAGAGGGCAGGGGAGAGGGGAAGCCCAGCCCCCTCCTCTTGCATTTGGCGGGGGTGGGGGAGAACCCCAGGACTAGATGTCACCTTGTCCCACAGCCTTCTCAGCGTTCCAGGTCTTTTGAAGCCATGGGCATCCGATACCTCCTGGTTCTGGTTCTTGTCCTCCTGGTATTGGGATGTGGTGAGTGTGTTCAGCAGGGGAAGAGGGGTCTGTGAGGGGGATGAGAGGAGCCTCAAGCATCTTCCCAGTCTAGTTCTTGCCTGGCCCTCCCCCATCCCCCTCCTTCCCTGCCTCATTGTCCCCTGCGGCAGGCTCCTCGGCTCTCCTAATGCACTCTCCCCCTGCAGAGGTCCAGGGGGCCCACATGCCCCAGCAAGATGAAGCCACCACCTCCTCCCTGTTCACCCAGATGCAGGAATCATTCTATGGCTACTGGGGGATAGCCAAGTCAGCCGCCCAGGGACTGTACGAGAAGACATACCTGACCACCATGGATGAGAAAATCAGGTATCATCGACCTGCCCCCACTAGGAACCAGGAGTCCCAGCCCCCAGCCCTGTCTGAACCCTGGATTCTGAGATCCCAGCCCTGTCCTCCCTAGGGAGCCAAGAGTTTGGGTTCCAGCCACCTTTTCCTGCAGGACACATGATTCTGGGCCCCCAGCCTGTTTCTCCCTTAGACTCAGGGTACTCCCAGCCTCCTCCTGCTCTGAACGTCTGTCCTTTCTCCCCAGGGAAATATACAACAAAAGCACAGCAGCTGTGAGCACTTACGCAGGGATTTTCACTGACCAGTTACTTTCTATGCTGAAGGGAGACCAGTAACAGCTGGGCCCCGACCAGGGGGGATGGGAGAGTCCAGACCCCACGACCCCTTGGCTCCTCTGACCTACCCCCTACTTTTCAGCAGCTACCAGCATCCTGCTCCCAACGCTAGTCTGTTCTTCTTATAAATAAATTAATTTAAAAAGCCACTTATTTTCTTCCATGTGGTTGCTTTTCTAAGACCTCAGGGGCCAAGATGGTGGGACTGATTCAGTCCATCCAATGGTTATTGAGTGCCCATTGGATGTATGTAGCCCTAACTTGGTCAGTGGGAATAAAGAGGTGAATAATAACAAGGAATAACTGTAACAACAAAATTAGAGACTGTCCTTCACCAAGGTCTGGCTTTCTCATATGTAAAATGACAAACCACGAACACAGCTAACTTCCAGAGGCCTCTGGCACTATCTAGGCCCTGGACGGATCCTTTAAATGTACATCACAGTGAGGTGTCCCGTGGTCCTGTGTCAGAGGGGAGACTGGTGCCCAGAGGTCACTACTGAGCACAGGAAGTCAGAGCCCAGGTTGGCTGGAACCCAAGAGGATCGATCTACAAAAGCTGTGCTCTGTGACAATTCCTATATGCTTGTCCAACCTGTATTTATTGAGACCCTGCTAGGCCCAGGGGACACTGCAGGGAAAAGACAGAGAGTCCTGCTTTCTGTGGCCCTTTAAAAAAAAGCTATTGATTGGGTCCAGGCCCAATTCCACACAGTTTTAGTGATTACGGCTGTGTGGTGTGTTCTGTTAGCTGCTCTCTCCTTATTAGCAACAGTAGTAACATCTTCTGAGCTCCCATTCAGGATCAGGAGCTCTGTTCCATCTTGAGGCCACAAACAGAGCGGCTGGGAGGTAGGGAGGGGGAAGGCAGAGGATGAGCTAGACGACCAAGGGAGAAGATGACTTCAGACAGCGATTTGTGCAATGAAGAAAAGAAGAAGTGAAGAGATCAAGGCCTGGGCGTAGCCCCCTCGGATAGGGGAAGTCCCCCTAGAAAACCTGGCTGGGCTGGTCCCAAGGGATGCATCACAGTGTAGTGTGGTTGGGGCTGTTGTTGCTGGTTTGTGGGGGGAGGAGGGCGGACTCGCTTGGTCCGTTAGTGGTTGGGAAATGGTATCTGGGCAGGGGGGAATTGCAGGCAAAAAGCACAGGGTGTGCAAGTAAGAGCAGAGGAGGTGCAATCAGAGAGGACAGTGCTTGGGCCCCTAGGTAGAGGGCTGGGGGCCTGCACTTCTGGGTCCTGAGGGAGTAGAGGGTGGTCCGAGGCCCCCAAGTGCCTGGGGTGGGGCTGTTGGCCTCTGAGGATCCAGGGCCTGTTTCTCCTAATCTGCTTGGCATTAATCTCCAGCCAGCCTCTCAGCACTCTTGGGGCAGCTTTCCCAGGTCTTGAGGATGGGCAGCTGGGAGTCTAGTAGAAAACAGGGGCCTTGGGGAGGGGCTGTGGGAAATGCCCCCAAGTCCCCAGGGCCTGGGAAGAGCTGAGGCTGCCAAACCCAGAGGGTGATGGGGAGGGGGGACCCTAGAGGAACAATCCCTGCTCTGTCCACTTGTTTCCCACGGACTCAAGCCAAACCAAACCACTGCCCAGGCCAGTTCTGCTTCCAACCAATCCTGGTGCCCTTCCCAGATTCCTCCTTCCTTTCTCAGGCCTCCACCCCAGTCCCACTCCCCCTAGGACCCCGGAGTCCAGGCCCCTAGATGCCTCTTCCCCCAGAATTCAGGAGTCTGGGACCCCAGACTTCTTCTCCCTCAGACTCGGAGTCTGGACCTCCCAAGCCTTTTTCCTCAGGACCCAAAAGTGTAGGGCTCCCATCCTTTTCTCCCTTAGAACCCGCAATCGCATCTTCTGGTTGGTGCTGGGCGTCCCCTAGTGGAGGACAGAGTGGCTGTGGGCTGTGATTCACTTAGCAATTAGTAGAAATGGAAGAATTTGGTCACTCAGCAGACATGGGAGAGGGCTTCGCAGTGCTGCTAAAGTCACAGTCTAGCTGAGAGACCTTCATGCTCCAACAGATCAGGATTCTGATGAGAGAGGAGGGCAGACCGGAGCATTTTGTATCTAGAGTTGAAAGCAGAGATGGGGTTACAGTGAAGCTGGAGATTACGTTTCTAAAGCCCCTCACTTGCCTGGGTTTTCTGTGGTCCTCTACTTAAGCTTGTGTATGTAATTTTGTGCTTTAAAAAAAGGCCCACAAATCTCAATCTGCCTCTTGTCTGGTGGACTTCAATCAGTATGTTCATTTCATCTGTAAACTTAAAAACTGGGCCTACAATTTTTTTTTTTAATTTCTATTTATTTATTTGAGAGAGAGTGAGAGAGAGCACAACAAGCCGGGGGGGGGGAGGGGCAGAGGGGCTGGGATCCCAAAAAGGGGTTTGATCCCAAGACCCTGGGATCATGACCTGAGCCGAAAGTAGACACTTAACCAACTGGGCATACAATTTCACTGACTCGTTCTTGCTACTTTTTTTTTTTTTTTAAAGATTTTATTTATTTGACAAAGAGAGAGAGACAG